TGGACGTGACGTATGCCGTGATCATCGAATGCCTCAAATGGCGTCACAGTTTCGGCGTAAACAGTATGTTTCTGAGAAGAATTCTTAATGTCAATCTTTAAGAGTAAACACTTCTGCCCCACTTCGCTCGTTAGCTGAGGCTAAATTTATTTTAAGGTGTATCGTGCAATATTTTAAGATATGTCATACAGAAACCTCATAAAAATATGGTTCCGGTACGTGAATAACACAGCTTTAGTACATGCATGCTGAAGTTTCTATAACATACGCTCGGTGCCCTGGCTAGGGACTTTTTTACAGCAGCATTTGTTAAAATCTGTCTGTGATTTTCTCTTATAAGAACTGTTTGAGAAACTGAATGAGGCCACGATGTGCCGAAAAATATGTTAAAATCAACTTGTAATTTCCCTGGATCTCAAGTTCGATTACGTGGAAGTTGAGACGAACAATTTTATAACTGATTATGCAGTAAATAAAAATGCATGTTCATACCGGCAGCCCTAGTAGTTATCGTTTTGTACTAAATTAAATGAACTGTAAATCGTTGAATTGTGGCTACAGGTTTTAAGCTACAGATTCTATGTAGAAATCGCTGTTTGCAGATATCAGTTTGTTGGAGTTGAAACCATTGTTGGATCGAGGTTTAGCCTATATACGCGGGAAAGATTGCCGCGGTTCTTCAATATGTTAGTTAAATCATATTTGTAATATATGCAACTTTCGACCGTTAAACTATCCTGCACAGTTCAAAAACTATTAGTTTCTAAATGGATAATCATATTCATTTTGATAATATAACGACTATTTAACAATAACTTATCCCTTACTTCAATCATCTGCAATTCAAGTGTCTGCGTAGTTGATATTTTTTACGGTTTCTTTAAGCAATGTTGCATCGCCTGGTGACTTTGGCATTTGTTTCAATTTTCTGAGAAGATTACAAGCTCAGCAGCCTTCTCGACATAAGTTTTTGGGCAAGGCTCAGCTGTTCCAAGAAGTCGATTTTGTGTGTTGAGCACTGTTACCTCGTCTCTAACTTTGCCACTGTTTGGCCAGTGTGAGGTATTTTATTGACCAGAAAGGCAATACAATATTCCAAATAATAATATCAGCAGTTTGCTAAAACTTTAAAATAATAATATTGGCTAAAGAGGATTGAAAGGATAGTGGCAATAATTTCGACACCATTTTAAAT